CGGTGATTCTGCAGAACAAACTTAACATGTTCTACACATTTACTTCTGCCAGCGCTTTTACCTGTGTCGTGGCCCTCTACCTCGTTTACAAGAGGTTCCAACGACGTATCTCTATTTCGCATGTCAGAGGGCCCCCGTCTTTCTCCTGGTTGTACGGTATGCCCGCACTGTCGCACAAAGTACATGTTCGTTGGAAGGAAATTGGATCGAATTCTTGGAAGCTCCCGCTGGAGAGGTAGCTCAAATCCTTATCTATCCCCACATGCCATCCTCATTATCTACAGGTAGACTTCCGATGGCAAGAGCAATTTGGAGGCGTCGTCCGCGTCAAGGCTCCCTTTGGGGTAACTTCGTCTACTCTTTGACCATTCGGCTGGTCTCAAATTCTTTCTTGGAAGACCGCCTCATGATCACGGATCCGAAGGCCATTCAGTATGTTTATCACACGGCGAGCTACCGGTTCCCCAAACCTGCCGGTCGTTCGGCTATTATTCGTTCCCTCTTTGGACCTGGCTTGACGGTCAGCGAAGGTACTTGCAGGCTTGAACGAGATGTCGCTGTTGATCCAGCTATTCGACTAAGTCATGATCACAAACGCGCCAGATCTTGTTCAAATACTTTCCACCTCGACGCATGGCCCATCTATTTGAGGCTAACAAACTCTCCACCTCAGTTGCGCGAAAACTGGTTGAGGAGAAAACGGCAGCACTCCTGGAAGGCAAGAGTCGCCTGGACATATTTTCTCTCCTGGGTCTGTTGACTACTTTCATCTCTATGTAGCTAACATTCTTCTGATATTGCGATCTTTTAGTTAAGGCGAACTATTCTGAGCAAACGGAAACTCGATTGAAAGAGAAGGAAGTGCTTGGAGAGATAAAGTACGACTTCCACGATTCAACGATCTAATCGTTATTGACGCGACGTCGAAGTACTATTATCTTAGCCGGACATGAAACGACGGCAACTCGCTCACGTTTGCGTTTTTTGAAATCTGTAAACAACCGGTGATTCAGCAGCGTCTTCGAGCTGAGATTCGTGCTTCGATGTATGCCGGTCGGTCATCCCGGCGATCCCGGACCCCGATGGCAAAAGTTCGGGTTCGGAAGACGTGCGTGCCCAGGACAGGAACCTGCGGAAGCGTCCATCTGGATCACGCTGGCGTCGATTCTAGCCACATTCGATATCAAGAGGATCGCGGGCGGGGATCCGACCGGAGGATGCATTGTTCAAGGGATGATCTGGCAAGTTCACGTTACTCGTACTTTCGTTCCAGGACTGATACTAGATCAGCCCTTCAAGTGTAACATCAAGCCTAGTCAGAGATTACCGAGATGCTTGTTAGGAACTCTGACCGTGGGAGGTGACCTCCGGTTTTGAATGACGAGGTCGACGTTTAATTGAGTCTGCTGCGCTCTATGCACGTTTAGTACGTCTCGTGGCTTGTACTATTTCCGCATGGCAATGGCATGCGGCTTTGCTCATCGGAACTTCTTGCCGTATGTCATTTGAGTGGCTGAGATCGTGTGGCATTTGTACGACTTCTTGGCCTCGAGGCGATACAGCTTGTCTCACTGACCTAGCGCTCACCTCATGGATCATTCGAGTCAAAGTCTTCCGCAGATTGACAACCTGGATGTACGACGGTACATCGAGTTCATGCGTACCGCGTGTGAACGCTTTCCTTTCGGTTTGGTAAGAGGAACCCAAATTAAAGGCGAAGAATAGCGCCTCACCGATTATAGGCTTGGTTTACTCGCATTGTCAAGGACTTCGATCGTTTGTTTGATTGGGCTGGTGCTCCCGGAGCAGTACTACCTCCAAGGTATGGTCCACCTTACCATTGCCTGGACGCGTAACCGTTTCAAATTCTATCAGATACGTTCAGAAATGCTACTTCACGTTCAAGGACTTCGAAGCGTGGAGTGCCTGGCCTCCTCTTGAGTGGATTCGGAATCATGAACATATCCATAATCGACTTATGCAACGGGTCGGATCACCACGAGCTGTACAAACAGAAGTTCCTCCGAGCCATCGCCGTAGGACCAGCTACGGAATGACAGATGAGGAGTGAGATTCTCTCGCTGTGCCTCGCAATAAAGCCTGATCATTTAGGTATTCTGCCTGGTCTGCAGAAGTTTTTCACTTCATCAAGGATTGCATGCGGGCCAATCGAGATTACTTACGCAAACTGGAGAATCTCGGGACGCTCAAATATGTATTGATGCTATTCACCAACTCGTTGAGGTAGGAACACCATAAATGTCCCAATGCTCGAACATCTCATCTATTATCTAGTCTAACAAACCGATACCACAGGCACACAGACAACTCGATTTTCTGATCAATATATGCCAAACTTTTATGCAATTACCGAGCCTTCTTCTCGATGAATTCCCTTCAGAAAGTCTGGATCATTCCCAAGGAGGAAACAACAACAGTATCGGCACATCACGGTCTGAGGTGCGCAAGGCAATAACCGACTCCGGAACGGCCGTAGCCATCAAAGAGATTCGTCTGTATCAGGTAACTTTGACGAAAAACAAACGAGTAAGTGGAATTCTGTAACGCTAATCGCATTAGGGCGCTGCTGACTCGGAGCGTTGATCTCACCTTTGTGTGACTAGCAATTCATCAAGGAAGCCTTAATCCTTCACCATTTATCTCATCCCAATATTCTGGCCTTTCGCGGCGTCATCTACGAGCCCTATCGTCTCTATATCGTGTCAGATTGGCTGGAGAACGGAGACATAAACCAGTATATCAGCAGCCACCCTGAAGCAAGCATAAAAGAACTCGTGCGTGTATCCACCTACACTTCGATGATGAGTACTGAGCGAGCCTTTTATAGCTCGAAGGAGTCGCTGATGGGCTCGACTTCATGCATAGCAACGCGATTGTTCACGGCGATTTGAAAGGAGTACGTCTTTTGCTTCCAATTCAGGTTGTATCGTTAACCACGAGCCTTTCCAGGCTAACATTCTCGTAGACGCAGATGGAAGACCGCGTATATCCGACTTTGGTCTCTCCTTTGTTTACGAGGCTCCCGGCAGAGCGACTGCAAGCGATACCGTAGCATCTGTGCCAGAGCCTCTGAGTTATGCGAGACTGATAAGAGCCTTTACGTCTGCGGGAATGCCGGAAAGTCAGGGCTCTTCGCTGGCGAGCACTCTATTATCCTCCGATCTATCACAGGCCGGCACTATTCACTGGATGTCTCCGGAACGACTTTACCCAGAAGAGTATGAACAGGCGCGCGCTAAAGCCACCCCACAGAGTGATGTTTTCTCTTTTGCGATGGTGGCCGTTGAGGTGAGTTCCAAATCAGGCATAAGCAGCAAGCTGAAAGTTTTCGATGTTCTTTAGGCATACACAGGTCATGTTCCATTCGGAAGGGGTGTGCACAGAGAACAATACATCGCAAACATCATCGTGCAGAAGAAGCGGCCACCCCGTCCGCTTAACATGCCCTTCGAAATCTGGCGCATTGTCGTCGATTGCTGGCATGATTCGCCTCGGCAAAGACCGTCAATCAAGGGCGTGTATTTCAGGATATCGATTCTACCGAGCTGAATAATGCGTAGACTACATGGGCAGTACTATGTTGTCGGTATGTAGCAAGCAGTACCCGCAATGTCATTCATAGGATGGACCGCCGACTCCTCCTTCCTCCAGAAATAACCGTTCGCATTCTCCAAGTGTAGCGGCTGCTCTGACACGAAAACACTTCGTTCGTCCATCCTCCTTGGGCGTGCATTTATCGCCCAGGAGCTTCTATCTCCCATGCCATCGTATTCATACTGGCCGTCCTGCCGCCGCTGCCACATTTCTTTCTATCACGATGACTCATACTTGGAGAAGGACGGCCCACGGACGCTTCGTACTGTACTCTTTCGACCGTATCTTCACGGCCTGTGACACGTTATGGTTGTGAAGATGTAGCGAACATCTTCATTAGGCACAACAATCACGTGAATTACTATATATGGAGGCTCCGGCGCCAGCCGGAGCGAAAAAATTGCCTATTTAAGCGAACACTAACAAGTTTTGGGGTCCGTGATGCGTTATGCTGTACCTGGATCTTCGCTTCACAGACCCGCGTGACGCGTTATGTGAAAATGCGGTCGAAAGAGTACAGTATTTCTATGTCAAATTCAAATCAATGACTCTGAGTCGCTCTTCCCTACCTCGGGGAAGGGCGGTCTGCGTGAGAGTAACCGTTCTTCTCTTCTCCTTTTGCAGAAGGTCACTGGTGCACACTTCAATTTGTGACTCGAATCTGCCGTATATAACTACCTCCATCATCTGTAAACTCTCCAACGCCATGTCTGCCGCCTTCACGACGCGCCCCGCACAGCCAGGCGACATCCCTGCTATCCTCCATTTCATTAAAGAACTCGCCATCTACGAGAAAGAAGAAGACAAAGCCCAGGCGACCCATGCCCAGATGCAGGAAGCCCTATTCTCCGAATCCGGCGTCGGACTCGGTGGTCACGTCGCGTGGGCCATCGTCGCCGAGCTCACGGCGTCCCCATCCTCAGCCGATCAGAGCACACCGCAAAGCGCCACAGGCAAAACACCCATCGGGTTCGCGCTGTACTTTTTCAATTTCTCGACTTGGACAGGGAAGAAGGGTGTTTACCTGGAAGACCTGTACGTGACGCCTGCGCAGCGCAATCTCGGCGTGGGGCGCGCGCTATTCGTGGCGCTGGCAAAGGTCGCACTGGATCATGACTGCGGGAGGGTGGATTGGAGCGTGTTGAAGTGGAACACGCCGTCTATCGGGTTTTATGAGTCGACACTGAAGGCTACGCGAATGGAGGAGTGGGTGGGGATGCGGGTGGAGGGCAGGGAGGGCCTTGAGGGTTTGCTTTTGAAGAATGCACGAGAGGCGTTAGACGGAGAGATTGTAGAAATGTAGATTGAGCTTTTGCTTTCGTTCCGGTGTGAACACAAGATGGACCATGCACAAGAAATGTTGAACCAGGAGGCAAGGAGCATCTGGGCACATGGTGTAGTTGGTTTATCACGCCCGCTTAGCATGCTTCTTGCGGGAGGTGTTGGGTTCAATTCCCAATGTGTCCACTCCGGTCGCTTGTGGCGAATTTTTTTGTGGCGTGAGTTGTAGAGGTACCAATGACCAATGACCATGTCCTAGGGTTGCGCAGTATATTCCCCGAGGCGGTTAGTAACCTCGGCGGAATATACCCCATTTTGGGGTGTGTTATTAACGGTTAGTAACGGTTAATAACCGCACACGTGATGTAATGGGGCGTATTTTGCAAAATTTTCTTCTCAGGCCCTCAGAAACCTCTTGAATGGCTGCAAAATGATCTAATGTAAGTTTTATTGATCTTCTAATGTATGTATTCAGTCTAGTGGCTCATTACCAGTCCATCTTGCCTGCAATCACCCTCCTCCCAGCCGATCCCGCCCCAACGCGCCCACCCCGCCCCACCTGCTCACATGACTGCATCCACGTGATGGGTTAATAACTGCCCAAAAACTTACCTCTCGAAGGGGTGTTATTAACCCGGTTAATAACCGTTAATAACCGGTTAAATATCGAACGGCGCGATATTATAGGTATCCTGCGCAACCCTACCATGTCCTGAGTCCTGACAGTTTTAGGGGTCACAGTTTACTCAGTACTGAGTGAGTCTGTTGCCAGTTGTCGTGAACACTGAATCTACAGTTATGGAAGGGCACAGAACTTAGAAGGCCTCATCTAGAGCACTCAGCAGATGAGGAATTATCGATTAACACCGGTGGTCACGAAAACCATGGCGATGCCCTGTGAACCACCAATACAGTATAATAATTATCAACCTCGTGCATTAAATAAGGAAGACAGAGTGATTATAAAGTAGCATAGATAGTCTTACCATACATACACCGAAAGCACTGAACGAAAAACATCAGACAGCCTATGGCCACTGCTCCCAACTTCTCTCCCTCTTCAGATGTAGCTGACACTCAATATTCGCACCCCCGCCCTCGCACTTGATAACCTCCAACCCCTGGAACATCACGAACCCATCCATCAAATCCAACCGAATCTCATCTTCCTCCACACATCCCCTAAGCTGATGTCGCTTGAGCTTCGCCGCGACGACATAATCCCTATCGCGCATACCCAGCGCTGCCTCCTTCTCGCTGACCTCGCCGAGGTCCTCATGCAGCGACACGTAAATGGCGTACAAGACGTCTTGTATGGTGGCAGTCCCCGGGACGGTTACGGGCGGGAAGAATGGGTGCGTGTGTACGGTGAGCGAGGCCGCACCGGGACAGGCTGTCAAGTCGAGTTGTGTGTTGGGCTCGACGCTCCGGGTGGACGGGACGTCGAAAAGGCACCAGAATAGCGGACGCGTTGTGGAGAGATCGAGATGGAGACGATAGTCGGGTGATGGGGGCAGAGCAGTGGCGAGACTCTGTAGGTCGAACGAGTCGCGGTGGTGACGAGACTTTGTCCGCCTGTGCTTGGGTGGGCGCGCAATTGGTGCCCTGGTCACTGTCTCGGGGAGTGGCTGGAGGACATCGAGTGAATCTCTTTTCCGCCGCCTAGCCGATTGGGGAGGTGGAGAGGACGTCCTAGTCGGTGGATCGATCGTCATCGGGCTCGGGGGAATAACCAAAATGTCGACGTCGACATCAACGCTGCATCCCGTCTCCACCTGCAGCGAGGGCGTCCTCGGCGACTTCTGCTCTGCGCCAACAACCTGTACAACCGGCGTCCCTTGGTTTTCGCTTCGTCTCTTAGGCGGCTTGGAATCCGCATCCGACCCACGCCGATGGTGAGTCTCCGACCAAGGCTTCAAGTTGTAGATATTCGCTCGTGGACGGGGATATGCATGGAATCGAGAGTATCCTATTATCACATGACAATCAGTAACAATGCGACCTTATAAGTGTAAACAACGCACCGGTATCTTCCCCTTTGCGCATTCGCTTCAAAATCGGTGAAGGAGGATCGCAGGTTCGGTGGCGTGGCAGGAAGATGGGACTGCGAGCATTGTCTTCATCCGATATAGTGAACACAACGGTATGTCCGAATTTAACCTTGGCCAACATCGGGGTCTGCGCGCAAATGGGCATGACTCGTGGTCTTCTTGGTGGTAGCGTCGATTGTAGGGAATATGCGGAAATGGCTTGAGCCAGGAGGATAGTTGGTTATAAGAGTTGCGGGATGGCGACGGTTACAACCAAAAAGTAGACGCATGGGCCGGCCATATATAAGCGTTTAGACAATGAACAAAGACACCAGCTCCATTTGTCCACAGCAAAGACCGTCACCATCACGTGAGGGGCGTCACAGCGCGCATTGGCATATGGGAGTGTCACGCAGCGACTGCGCCTGCGCCTCATGGGTACGACGAGGCGGGATCGAGTCTTTGTACGACAACAATTGAGCGGTAATTTCTGAGCGTCAGAGGTTAGATGAAAGAACATGCGGTTGAAGTCGGGGAATGAAACGCACATATTTCATATCTCGCTTTCATGAGGAAGAAAGCAAGTGGCAAAAGACCAGCGAGAATTTCAATATGCGACAAACAAGAGAAGAAAACGATAGCGTGCACGATTGACCTCTGTGTTCCAGAATTGTGGACATGGTACCGGCCCGGATGATAAAGAGGCGTCGATGGCGTGAATCATCGCCACGGACTGGAAAGTTGCGCCACAGTGCATATCACCCGAGGCATCTCGTTGATTGATCCTTGCATTCGGAACGACCAGGTCCATTATCAGCTTCACCCGTGAGGGGAGTATGAAAATGCAAGCGACAATAAAACAACAGAATGTCATGCACGACGTCCAGGAAGGCGCCGCGGGTTAATTCAAAACGCGACAAACCTGGTCATAGTGGTCAGAGAAAGATTGAACGTCGAAGGGACCGATTGAACATACCTTTCGCTGTTCAGACTTGTGCACGGTCTATGAAAGGATTGAATGAAACTTCTGTGTACACTCGAATCCGTAGGTTCATGGAGCTCGGTAGAAGTAATTAGATGAGCGCAACGCGAGGAATAGGTAGGGTTTAGTCTGATCCTAAGGAGAGGGTTAATAGCCTGGATATAACATGAAAAGTATAGACTTGCCTCCGCGGGTGAACTGGCACTACAGAAAGAAGTCGGTCCAACAAGGAGGAAACCAAGCGAAAAAAGCGAGCGATGCGGCTCTGTATATTCCAGACCAGAGAAAAGGGTACCATGGCACCGGCCCGGATTGTAAAGAGGCGTGAAGTGGCGTAAAGCAGGGCCACGGACCGGAGGACTAGGCCACAGCGTGTATCGCTGATTTAGTAGTTACTGTCTGTTAGTGATTCTTGCATTTTCAACGTCCGGGTCCTCTAGCAGCTGTAAGAATGTCAGCGGTGATAGGACGACAGAGCGAGATGCTTTGCAACCTGCTACCCTTTTCTCATTCCGGAGACCTAGTGAACCGCGTTTACACCAAGTATTGGGCACTGGATAAAATAGATGGCGCCGCTCATGGGTAGAGACCGACGTCTAGACCTGTACAGCGTTGGTCTTGGGACAAGAAATATCATCGTTGGCATCTACATAGTTGGTCCGTCAATCCCACAGGTAATGATAATTCTGAAACGCGCCTAGAATGAAAAGGCGCGCGGGAATGTATTGATGTACAAGAATTGATGATGGTGGTCAGAAGACAAGCGCTAAGTAGGCCACGTGCCTCGGTTTGGCTTCGCTACCGACCACCATCATCTACTAACGCCAGGCGTGTTCGAGCCACAATGAGCTCTACTTCAAGTAAGTTGGGCAGCGACTCATGTTTATCTCTTAACCTCTCCCATAGAAAACTGGTTCGACGACAACTGGTTCCCTCAAGAAATTTGGGAGCACATTATTGACTTCAACTACAACGACGTCGATGCACTCAAAGCCTGTGCCCTAGTGTGCTCCTCATTTCTCCCTGTCTCTCGAATTCACCTCTTCCACGATGTGTCTCTCGTCCAAGATCGTAAAACTCGTGCCCAACGGCATGCACGACCGCGTTATGGAAGGCTGTACAGCGCCACAGAATTGCATGATCTGTTCAGAGAATGCCCACATCTCATCCGTTACGTGAAGAGCATCGCGCTCGATGATAGTCTCCTCGCCACCGCGGATCCTATGGCGTTGGGTCTCGTCTTCTGCGAACTCACTCATATCGAAGAGGCCGCTGTACTCTACCCGCCACAAAGCGATCTCCAGCACCACCAACCCTTTTCTCGCAAGTGCTTCCTAGAACTCTTCTCACTCTCGACCATCGTGTCACTAGACCTGTGCGCGACCCTCTTCACCGATTCGAACGAGTTGAATCACCTGCTACATCAGTGTCAGAGTCTAGAGAACTTTGCGTGGTTCCAAGACGGCCCCTTTGAATGGGGCCGTAATCCTCGTCGTCCGGGCCTAACGCCGCCCAGGCTCAAGTCGCTTCATATTCATGGACACGAATCTCTTGCCCTCGAACCATTCACTCAGCGACGCGTACCCTTCGACCTTTCTTCTCTCGAAGAATTCACGCTCGGAATTCTGACCGACATGCCTGATATCAATTTGACCTACCTCAAGCGCCTCTTCCACCTCATCGGTGGTTCTCTCCAACACTTTCGAATTGATGTTCGCTCTATGTACTGGAACGACAGTACGTATCTTACTATCCACCCTTGTATGTAACTAACCTACGACACCAGACGGCGAAGGCGTCTTCCTCTAGACTTTACAGAGACCCAACCTCCGCAGCCTCTACTTCTTTGTCACCACATTCTCCGACTCGACCCATGGATACGCGAAGTTCCCATCCCACCCAGCCTGCGCTCTCTAACACTCGAAATTGGATGCAGCCAGATCGAGCGCGAAGAACGACTTGAGAGCACTGTGAACCTTGTCGCGATCGGAGAGCACATTGCTGTCCACGCTGAGCAGCTCGACAGTGTCCTGGTTATCGCGCACCGCAAGCATGTCTCAGCATGGCTTGTGTGCGCCGCCAAATGTTTGCAGTGGGTATCCGCCAAAGGACGACGATCTGTTGGATCAGATACTGATTCGGTTGCCGGACTTGCAGGGCAAATTGCGGGTTAT